AGAGAGAGAGAAAGGGAGAGAGAGAGAGAGAGATGGAGAGAGAGAGAGAGAGAGAGAGAGAGAGAGAGAGAGAGAGAGAGAGAGAGAGAGAGAGAGAGAGAGAGAGATGAAGGAGGTGAACCGCGTTACGCGGACGCAATGGGTGACAAACGATGATTATGACTTGTTGATGTGTCTATAGGCACACGTCTATCGCAGGCACGTTCCCCTGAGGCATGATGGCTTGCATTCTAACACTTTTCTGGTCCAATGTCACTTGGCAAACATGCAGAGGTAATACGATACGATACGCCAGGCAACTGAGATCCATACGAGTTTGCTGTCACTGAAAAATCTGTCACGCAAATGCGCGTGCGGCTTCGCGCAACCCTTGCATGGTGGAGCTCTGTCAGAGCTCCACTGGTGATCCCCGATTGATCCTAGGGAAGGGTTACAGGCATGTTGGCTCTGTCGAAGTTTCGCTCCGGCATTCTCGCTGGATTCTGTCGCGAGCAGGGCATTCGTCAGTCCTAGACGCTTCTAGAGTCCCCACAGCAGAATGGGGTTGCTGAGCGCCGCATAGGCTTGGTCATGGAGATCTCCCGCACCTCCTTGACTCACCCCCGTGCCCCCCATTTTCTGTGGCCCTACGCGGTTCGGTACGCCGCTCACGTGCTGAACCTGTGGCCACGCGTCTCTCGGCCAGAGGCTTCACCGACCAGTCTTTGGACCGGGTCCCCTGGTGTTGCGTCGAGGTTTCGTGTCTGGGGTTGCTTGGCTCTTGTCCGCGACACTTCCGCGGACCAGCTCGCGCCTCGCGCCGTTCCCTGTGTCTTCCTTGGTTTCCCTAAGGACTCCTCTGACTTCACCTTTTACCACCCTCCCTCTCACCGGTTCTTTGACTCCCGTGACGTCCGTTTCGAGGAGTCCACCCCCTAGTACGTCAGGTACCTTAGTCGAGGTCTCTCGGTTCCTCCTTCCCCTCTCTTCCTGACTTCCGCTCCCCCTCCTGCTCCCCCGGTACTGCCTTCCCCCCCTGGTCCCGCCCCGTCAGATGTGTCCCAGGCTACCCCTCCCCCCTTGGTAGCCCCTCAGGTGCGGCCTCCTTCCCCGCAGTCCTCCTCGCAGCCTGCTGCAGACCCTGCGAGAGCTGGTGCTCGTGGAGAGGGCCCTACAGGTGCTAGCTCTGGGCGTGCTGGAGTTGGAGCTGAGCCTGTGGTTGCAGGAGACTCTTGTCTTCCGGGAGCTGGTGTTGGTCCTGCTGACTTTGGGGGTGCTACGTGTGGAGGTGCGGGTGCACCCTCTTCGGGTCTTGGTGAGCCTGGTCGTGTTGCCGTCGGTGGTGCTCACTCTGGGGGTGGTGCGCCAGGTGCTTTGGAGGGCGGTCCCGGGGCTGCCGCAGCCCTCGACACTACTCCTCCCCCCCAACCCTACCCAACCCGGCACCAGGCTCGTGTTCGACGTGCCCGTGAGGAGCAGCTAGAGTTTGAGAGAGAGGAGAGAGAGTTGCAGCGGCTGGAGGAGCAGCAGCAGCAGCAGGACCAGCTACAGCTGGAGCCGCCACAACAGCAGGATGCGCAACAGCTGGAGCCGCTACAGCAGCAGGAGGAGCAGCAGCAGCCGCAGCAGCAGCCACCGCCGTCGCCGCCGCAGCAGCAGCAGTAGCCGCCGCCTCCTCCTCCTGTCTCCGGTCTTCGGGCCCTCGGTCTCCCCTCCCGCTCTCCTTCCTCCTCCCCCTCTCCTCCTGTCTCGGGTCCTCCTCTTCCTCCTCCTGACCCCTCCTCGGCTGTTTTCCCTCCTTCTCAGCGTCGGTTGTCCCCTCCTCCTCAGACTTGGGCCTCTTGACGCTCCCCTCGTTCTCGTCCCTCGTCTCCTGTTCTCGTTACTGACCTTCGTACTGCCCTCTTTCATTCTAGTCCGCCTCGTTCGTCTCCGTCTCTCCTTCCGTCTCCTCTTGAGTCAGCCTTCACTAATTCTCTCTCTACTCCTGTCACTGACTACTACCGCACGTACCGTCCTGTTCTCTCTCGTGTTCTCGCCTCTCTTGTTACCGACCCTCGTGCCTCTGTCTCCTCTGTCTCCGCCCTTACTACCGCAGTCACTGAGTTTGCCTCCACTCGCCGCCTTGACTACGCCACCGGTCTTGTGGCTGCTCCTCCTACCAGTCCTCTGGCCGTCGAGGGTGAGTCTGCCCTTGGCTGTGACGCCCTAGAGGACAGGCAGTTTGACTAGAGTTCCTGGCAGCTGCTTCCCCACATCTCTGTGCCATGCTCCTCGCCCCTGAGGGAGACCCCGACGCCCTTGACATACCGACTCCTCGCACTTACACTGAGGCAGTGTCAAGGCCTTGGGCCTCTCAGTGGAGAGCTGCCATGGACGCGAAGATGGCGTCTTGGAGATCCACAGGCACCTACGTCGACGAGGTTCCCCCCCCTGGGGCGAACGTAGTTGATGGCATGTGGATCTACAGGGTGAAGCGGCCACCGGGGTCTCCTCCGGTATTCAAGGCGCGCTACGTGGCTAGAGGTTTCAGTCAGCGCGAGGGAGTTGACTTCTTTCAGACCTTCGCGCCTACCCCGAAGATGACCACTCTTCGGGTGTTACTGCTCGTAGCAGCACAGAGAGACTACGAGTTACACTCTCTCGACTTCTCCACTGCTTTCCTTCAGGGTAGCTTACACGAGGAGGTCTGGCTGCATCGTCCCTCTGCCTTCACTGACAGTTTCCCTCCTGGGACCCAGTGGCGGCTGAGGCGACCTGTCTACGGTCTTCGTCAGGCTCCTCGTGAGTGGCACGACACTCTTCGTTCTACCCTCTCTGACCTTGGTTTCCAGCCGTCTTCTGCCGACCCTTCGCTGTTCGTTCGTCGTGGCTCCACACCGTTCTTTGTTCTGGTCTACGTCGACGACCTGGTGTTCGCCACTGCTGACAAGGTTGCCTTGGCATACGTGAAGTCTGAACTGCAGAAGAGACACACCTGTACTGACCTTGGTGAGCTACGCCACTACCTTGGCCTGCATATCACCAGGACAGAGCTGCTCGCACCATTACACTCTCACAGTCACACATGGTGCAGCAGATCCTTCAGCGGTTCGGGCTTCAGCACTCCACAGTACAGCGCACACCTCTTGCTGTTGACCACAGACTTACTGGACCCTTTCCTGACGAGTCGTTTGACTCTAGTGATCCCTACGCAGAGTTGGTGGGCTGCCTCATGTACCTGATGACTTGTACTCGCCCGGACCTCGCCTTCCCTCTCAGCATCCTTGCTCGCTTGAGTGTGCCAAGGAGACACTGTCCTGTTCACTGGACGGCAGCTATGAGGGTGGCGAAGTACCTAGTGTCAACATCAGGCGTGGGGCTAGTTCTTGGAGGGCAGCAGCCTGTCGTACTTACTCGTCACTCTGACTCTTCTTATGCTGACGACGCTGAGACTCATAGGTCTACTCAGGGGTACTGTTTCAGCTTGGATTCTGGAGCTGTTTCGTGGCGGTCCACGCGCTCCTCTTCGGTCTCGACCTTTACAGCTGAGGCTGAGATCTACGTTGGTGCCATGGCGGCACAGGAGCTGCGTTGGTTGACCTTTTGTTCGCCGACCTTGGTTAGCGGCCGAGCTCTGCACCGACCTTGTTCACTGACAACAAGGCATCGATTCTCCTCTGTCGAGAGCCGCGACTGGAGGAGACCAGAGTGAAGCACATTAACGTTAGGTACTGTCTTCTGCGAGAGTTGCAGAGACGTGGACAGGCTCGCTTCGAGTTTGTGGAGTCCGAGGCCAACACTGCAGACATCTTCACCAAGGCGCTTCCGCCTTGTGACCACCAGAGGTGTTGTGTGCAGTTAGGCCTTGTTGACACCGTTTCTAGTCGTATATAGGCTTGAGTCTACTGTTTGCTTTGCTTGTACTCTTGCCATACACACTTGTGAACTCTCGAACTGGCCTTGTGGCCCCTGTTGCTTGTGCTCAGAGTGTGTGGTGACGTTGTGATCCACCCTGAGCTTTGTTTCTTTGTAAGTGGTCTTGTGACCGTACACTTTTGGTTTTGCTTGACACCCCTCACTAAGGCTATGGGGGTGTGTCAAATGTTGTAGCCTGTAGTGAGGTTTGTCTTAGGGGGTATAGATGTTAGGGTTTGTTATATGTACCCCAACCCACATCAATGAACCAACACTTTCATTCTTGACACCCAACACCGATGGACATCACGGACGCTCTTTGAACACGAAGATCGATAGCCAGTAGCATAATTGATAGCAAGTATTATGTTTAGTAGCTAGTACAATGATTGATACGTAGTAGAATATGTACTAGCACTTCTGTTTCCTAGCTTGAGATGCATGTTGTAATTTGCCAGTTGAAATGAGAACGATGCCAATTCATAAGAGAGAGAAAGCAAGCTTTCTATATCTGGTCATTTCTGTTGCAGTATTTACCTGCATTTTACCTACATTCTGGTAGGCACCGTATCACTACCAATGCTTGAAAGCACGAACACGTGGAAATTGTCAGGAGGCCAAAATACAAGGCGATTGTGGGCGTACATGGATACAGTACATTTCTACAAGTTAGTACCAAATTGATACAGTGCTACTACTTACAGGTGCGCACAAGAATTAGCGGCCAAATGCCTTTCTGCCCTAATTCATTCCTGCCCGCACAAGAGCTTGCTTTGAACACCTCCTATCAGCAGGTGGAGAGCAAGAGAGTAGGATAACAAAGCCCGATGCAATAACTTGCCACCTACGTAGTGTAGTACTGGTATCAAGCCAGTAGAAAAAGGTGAGTGGAAGATGCGAATAGGGGGAGCAAGGCAGCATGAGGGCGAAAGAGAATCCCCTGCAGCAGCACAACTATGCAGGATGTAATACATAGACATACAGAGGCAGATGATGGGGCAAAGGTAAGGGATTCATGTGAAATTCACTGGGTGCTACAAGTGTAGCAAGACCAGATCCACATGATGGGAGATCGGAAGTGAGAGGAGGAGGAACGTGGGCGTGTGTAAGGGAAATGCAAAGGATCAGGCAGGTGGAAGCTTAAAAACTGGCTGCTGCTGGTCACACCACTGCCTCAGAGCATCCCTCATCCAATCATGCCTACACCGCTGTATGGCCTCTGGTATTGACACCTAAACAAGCACCATGCAAAGAAATGCAAGCAACACAATCATTTAACCCCACATCAAAATGATCATCCACCCCATCCATCATGAGTGCATGGCAAAGGGGCATCGGGAAAGGGGAAAGACGAGGAGCGTTATTGCATTGCACTCAGGGAGCCATGGAGAAAAAGCGGCAAAGGGAAATAGCGATGGTCAGTAAGTAGAAGAAATCGGGAAAAGGAGGCTACTGATGAGCTGATTCGGCAAAGCGCACACGCGACGCACCCAGTGACGGCTACGGCGGCTCATTTCGGGCCAGACAGTGAGCAGCTCGGTCACGGCAAGGCTGAACATGTGCGCACAGCACTCGCCGTCTTTACACTCCGCCGTGCGTAATCGCTTGCTCTTAAACATCCACGAACCTATTCTGCCCTGTATGACACAACAGCAGGGCAGATAACGCAAAAGGCCGTCAGACTCTGCTTAAGGTGGCGCGATGAAGAGCAAGAAAATAAGGCGATCGACAATCTTCATGATAAAAAGCAGCTGCTTCTGATAATGTAATCATCTCAAATGGTCATTGAGTCTTCCAACCTGTATAATCCCTCGAACCCCAGCTTCTTCCATAGCTTCTCGGCACGCAGCCTGTTCAGCAGTCTCATCCGTCTCCCAGCCTCCCTGTTGAAAGAGACGAACGCAAACATCAAACATCTGAAAGATGACGGCAAGCAATGACAGAGTCTTCGTTTTCCGTCTTATGGAACCAAAAACTAGCAGGGTCCGAACAGAGCAGGTTAGCTTCACGCACCTTTGGAAATATTAAGCCTTCGCCATGTTGCGATGTGATCATTAGAACTTGAAGCTGCTCTGTTGTTTGTCTGCCGTCCTGATCCTCGTTAAGAACGCGGAAGGGAATGCACCTGCACCGGCAGCAAAAGCTACGTCAACTGGAAATTCAAGATAATGAAACGAAACAATGGAGACCCAAAATGGCGGATAAATAAGCAGGGGTGTTCACAGAATGTAATGAAATGAAGGAAAAGGCGAGTTCAACCAGCATATAAAAATCACGGTCGTTAGGTGCTACAGCTAGCGAGTAGCAATTTGATGACAGGAAGAGCCAGGAACGACAGGAAGAAGGGCTGACCCAGCAACGAGACGAACCCCTTCCGCATATCTTTGATGACTCCGTCCAACCCGTGCCACCAGCTTCTCTGGTGCCTCCGCTTCCATGACGGCAGCAAACGCTGTTCTTCGAATGGGGGACTCGCTCACCATCCCCTGCTGCTGCACATGCAGATCCGAAACAATAGTGAAGGATGGATTAAGGGTCGACGAATAATAGAATGGAATGTTCTGGGCAGAAAAAAACAATCAGGAATAGAAACGACCTGACGAAACATCGTCGTCACTACCTGCCGCCATAGTAAGCAGAGAATCGTTGGACATGACTTACTTAGAAAACAACCATGACAGGCACAGGAATTAACAAGACGTAAAAACGACCCTACCATTCCAACAAAAAGGAGGACGACGTGAAGGGACAAAAGCAAGCGGGAGTCGGACAAAAGCAGAAGGACAAACCGAATGCAAATCACCAAAGGACAAATAGCAGATCGAGAACGTACATCGGACATCGATTGTAAAAAAGTCGAAATAGACTTAGACTTGACTCGTCGCCATTTTCGCTATCTCCCGATCGACCAGCAGTTGTTATCGACAAGCAGCTTCGAACACAGATCGACCCGATCCTTAGGGAAACAAGAATGTACTAACTGGGTTGTTTTCCGACACTGCGATGTCCGAGGGGTAACCACCTTCGAAACCTTCGGAAACCCCGACAGCCGATCCCAAAACAGTCGCAGACGGGAGGACTCCAACTAATCGACTCCGGACGATCGCTGAGCCAACCTCGCGAGATCGCAGAAGGGGTTTACAGACCCCTTTCAGGACCCTACTAGGAACCTAGTGGGAGTTGACACTGGACATGACAAGCTGACCGTTGCGGAGGGCAACGGATGGTGAGGGAGGCTCTCAACGAGGCAAGGGTTGGGTTGGACTGGGTGGGACAGGGGGGTTGGGGGAGGGGAGAGTAAGGGACCGAAAGGGAGAGGGAGCAGCAGGCAGAGGGCGGAGCAAGGATGGATGGAGTGCTGCTGGGAGAGAGGAACCAAGGTGAACGGCGGGGGAGAGTGTCGGGTGGTGGGGGAGAGTAACGGGGGAGATTGACGGGGAAAAGTGATCTTGGGGGGGGGGAGAATTGGGGCATGGAGGGGGAATATGAAAGGGAAGAGACTGGCGGACGGGGGAAGTGGAAGCCGGTAGCGGGGGCTGCCCTGGGCGCGGAGAAACACAGATTGGGTTTGGGGGATTCGTGTTGCAATGCTGGAACCCGCGCTGCTTGGTTTGGTTAGGGTTTTGAGCAGGATGAAACATCGAAGTCCTCTGAAAGGGGTCACTGTCACGGAGGGCCCAGGATGAAACCGAGAGGGAAATTTGTTTTTGGAGGGCCAGGGGCAGAGATTGCGTTTGCGGTTCCGGCGAATGTCGTCACGAGCGAGTGGGTTTCGACAAGCGTGGTAACTGACTGGAAACGCGTTAGCGGGACGACTGCGCTTCGAGAATCCTTCGTTGCGTCCAGGGGATTTGAAAGGCGCGAAGAAAATGGTGAACGCGGACACGGTTTGACGGAAGGCGCCAGAAAGTGCCGGGAAGCAAGTGTGAGTGGGAGGCTTTAGAGTGTGTCCGAAGTGAAGCGTCGAACGGATGTCGATGGATGTCGGTGAACATCAACCCTCGGATCGAGAGTTCCAACCGTCAGGACTTACCGACATCGGATGTCAACGGATGTCGACTTCACTTCGGACCCGCCCTTAGGTTCGGTAGCAGCAAAATGAGGTGGTCAGAGATTGATGACATGGCACGTGCCATGTCAGTCTGGGTTGTGCAGTGTGTTCAGTTCGGAGAACCCAGAGGACGTCCACCACTACCGTTCAACAAGAAGAGTAAGTTGCAAGGACGATACATTCTGTACAACAAAAACAACTTGTATGTAAGTGTTCCATTTCTACTTATCAAAACAAAGGAGACACTACTTTTATGTTCTTGTATCTGGCAAACACCTTCCATGCACGATTTCCTATTGTCCTACGGGCCCGTTTCCCTGACCACAACCCTCGACTTATTTTACTTGCATCCCAAACACTAGCATAGAGGAATGAAGGATTGGATGGATAAGGTTCGGTTGATAATGCAGTATTGTTCACCACCTCTCGTATGGGGACTCTGTCAATAAACCACCTGCACAAAATTTTAAAAACCCATAATAAAATCAACTTGGTGAGAACACTGAAGGGACGAACGCATCCATATGCAGCCTCCAACTAAAAGGGATAAAAGGAATCAACTCTAGGGAAGCATTGCTCACACAGCTGACACGACAGACCTTACATGTCCCCCAACTGCGTGCCAGCACGGTGACAACAAGCTCTCACATAATGCAATTAGCAGTCCACGGAAAGGCACAAGGCCATGACAACCCACCAACTGAACCGAGCTGCTGCACTCTCCGAACCAAACCAAGCTGCACTCACACGATGCGGGCAGCGGTCCAGAGGATGGCGTAGTTGTGGAACGCCTTGGAGCAGTCGAAGCCGAGGGTGTGCCAGCCCTCGTGGTGGCCCACACCTGAGACATAGTAGTTGGTCTGCACGTGCGCGTTGCTCTTGCCCAGCCACTCAAAGTCGATCTCGTCCTGCCTCCTGCTGCCCTCCTGCGTCGATAGCTGCAGGACGGGGTAGGGAAGGGGACGGGAGGGGGCCAACGCTGGTGGAGATGGGTGAGAGTAGTGGACTTTTGAGTCGACTCAAAAGCCTATCTCGTCCTGCCTCCTGCTGCCCTCCTTGCGTCGATAGCTGGGGCGCGGGGGAAGGGAACGGGAAGGGGGGAAAGGGGGGGCGGTGGGGGTGGGTGTGGTGGGGGGGATGAAGGAATGTGTGGGGGAGTGGAAGGTGGACGGGACAGGGAGACGGACAGTCGAGCAAGGATAGGGAGTAAATGTCATCGAGCAAGGCTTTTACTGCAAAATCCCGCTGCTGATGTCCTCTGCATGGATAACTAGCTTAAGGGCAGGAAGGGGGCTGAGAGAGGAGCAAGAGTAGCATGATGCATGGCACAGGGGCGGAGCGTCACATGGAAGAGGGTAGAGTAGGCTAGAGACAAGGCTGCTGGTAAGACAGTGACATTTGAGAGGCACTTTGGAAGCCGGGTCAAAGGCCACTCGTTAACCAGCGTTCCACAGGAGCAATAAGCGTGGTATTCTGAAGGTAGTACAAGGAATGGCAGGGAATAGTATGGCAGGGCAGGGCAGGGGCGACATACATAGAAGCTGGAGACGAGGCCACTGGTGAGGCCGGAGGGGCACTTGAAGTCGACTGAGAAGAAGCCAAACGCAAAGGGCTGCGGTGACCGGAAGCGCGAGCCTGGTGTGTTGGGGGGGGGGGGGGGGGGGGGGGGTGGGGGGGGTGAAGAGGAAGGGACAGAGAAAGGTGCAGAGGACGAGGGTGAGTAAAGAGCTGTCCGAAAGAAATGCTGGTGGGCACTGATTAATGCCGCTGCAAGCTAGCACGTAAGCTACCAAGCAACCACACACGCACGCACGCACACACACACCGCACTTGTTGTCGAATCGGATAGTCCCCATGCCGCTAGTACCCCCCTCGCACAGCAAGCAGTGCTCGCTGCAGTAGTCCACATGTATGAAGAAGTGCTTTGAGACGTCTCAAAACGCTTCTTCATAAACAGACATCTCCCAGGAGCACGCACCGCACTTGTTGTCGAATCGAATAGTTGCCATGCCCGTGGTAGCCCCCTCGCAGCCCAAGCAGTGCTCGCTGCAGTAGTCCACGGCCAGAGGCCCCACCACTGGGCCCAGAGCCGCCGGCCATTTTACAGCAGGCAGGGGGGTTGGAGGGGGAGGGGCGCCTAGCCTAGCCATGAGTGGTGTGATGGAGGCAACACCTGTACAGGGGAAGGGGGATTGTGGTGAATCTTGAATTTTTGCAGTAGGCCACAGCTAGAGGCCCCACCACTGGGCCCAGCGTTGCAGGCCATTTCACCACACGCAGGGCAGTTGGAGGGGGAGGGGCGCCTAGCCTAGCCATGAGAGGCGTGATAGAGGCGACACCTGCACGGAGGGGTTGGAAGGGGTGGAGAGTGGGAGAGAGAGGCACGTCACACACAAGCTAAAGCAATATCCTACCCCGCACACACGCACGCACGGACGCATGCACACACACACACACACACAGCCACACACACACACCCACACACCCACCCACCCACCCGTCCACATGGCTGTCTTGGGCAGCGGGTCTCTGCTCATCTTGCCTGCCCAGGCCCCCAGGTTGGTGAGCGCAGCAGCCTTTATGGTGCCGAAGAGAATCAGAGGCACAGCGGGGAAGCGCAGAGGCGAGGAGGACCGAGGTAAGTAGCGCACCAACTGGCGGTTCACGTACCAGCTGATGGGAGATATGGGGGATGGAGGAGGGGGGTAAAGACGGGGGGTGGTGGGTGGGGGGATGGGCTTTGAAGGACGATACGGAGAAGAGCAAAGGCGAGGCAGACTGTGGCTGGTAGATAGGTAGTGCACCAACTGGCAATTCAGTTCACGTAGCAGCTGGTGGGGAGGGTTGGAGGGGGCGGAGGTGGGGGAAGGATGGTGGGTATGGGGGTGTCGATGGGTGGGGATGTGAAACAGCAAGTAGCGCACCAATTGGCGGTTCACGTACCAGCTGGTGGGGAGGGAGAGGGGGAGGGAGGGGGGGTGAGGAGGGACGGAGGAAAGGTGGGGTGGGGATCCCGGCACACTCTCTGCTCTCCGGCTGATGGTATGGTACTCGCTAGTGGAGAGTGTGTGATGTGATGGGAGTGGAGCACGGACGGGATGGATGAGGGCTGGGAAGAATGGGCCCAAGTCAGTCACCTCCAGTCAACCCGAGTCAAACCACTGCAACTCACGAGACATAGTGCGCGTCCCAGTAGAGGGAGAGGCGGGCAGGCACGGAGTCACAGGGCGAGGGGAGGGACACTTGGACAAGGGGTCAGGCCTGAGAGTGTGTGTGTGTGTGTGTGTGTGTGTGTGTGTGTGTGTGTGTGTGTGTATTCAAAAACACTGGTTTTAACACTTGGTGCACTGCGGTCAGGCCAGCCAGTCAACTCCGGTCAAACCAGGTCAATTCAATCCAACTCACGAGACATAGTGCGCGTCCCAGTAGAGGGAGAGGCGGGCAGGAACAGAGTCACAGGCCGAGGGGAGGGACACTTGTGTCGGAAAGGCCTTGCCGCTGCGGTGCAGAGTGGCGAGCAGCATTTGCTTGTTGCTGCCCACCATGTCAAACGTCACACCCGCTGCTGGCCCCGTGCTGCCTGTGTTAGATATCTGAGGAGGCGAGAGGAGCAGGGAGAGGCAGGAAAGGGAGGACCAGGACAGGGGGGGGAAGGTGTAATGGACAAGCCAGTCGGCCCTGGTTGGCAGGTCTGTGCTTATGGAGCGGGACAGCTGAGGGGGAAGGAGGGGGGGTTAGGAGGAAGGGGCGTGGGTGGAACAGGGGCACGGAGGTGGGGAAGGGAAGGCCTTGCCGCTGTGGTGCAGAGTGGCGAGCAGCGCCCTCTTGCTGCTGCCCACCATGTCAAACGTCACTCCTGCTACTTGGCCTGTGCTGCCCGTGTTGGACAGCTGCTGGGGGGGGGGGGGGGGAGGAGGGGGATGAATTGGGGCGGGGGGGAACGTAAGGTTTTGCATGGTGAGCAGTGCTCTCACCAGGTCGCAATGTCTCTCCCGCTGCTGGGCCTGTGCTGCTGGCATTGGAATTTGGACAGCTGGAGGGGGAGGAGTGGGGTGAGGACGGAAGGTGGGGAACGAGGGGTGTGGGGGGAGGAGGAAAGGGTTGGGGCGAGGGGAAAACGAGCAGGGTGAAGGTTACCCTGTGAGGGAAAGAAGAGTGTGATAAGTCGATTTTGGAGTCGACTAAAAAATCGACTTATCACACACGGCTTATATGTGGAGAGAATGTTTGTTACTTGGAAAATTGGTTGTAACCTGCAGGGAAAGGGTTGGGGCGAGGGGAAAACGAGCAGGGTGAAGGTTACCCTGTGAGGGAAAGAAGAGGGGGGATTATGGAGACCATCTGCACCACACTTTACCGCAGCAGACCGCACTACCTGCCACCACACCACAGTACAGCAGATATGCCCGGCAACCATACCCCACCCCACACACCTGTCAGTCAGTCACAGCACTGCATCTGTCACCCCTACCATAGCACACGCTTTTGAGACGTCTCAAAAGTCGTCTACAGCAGACATTCCCGGCAACCATACCCCACCCCGCACACCTGTCAGTCAGTTACAGCACTGCATACCATAGCACACCATACCACAAGCACGGCCGGAGCAAACCACACCACACCATACCGCAGCATACCGCCTTATACCGCCTCAGGAGCCTGAGCAAAGAGGCAGCACTCACCCCAAAGGACACGAGCAGGCCAGAGGTATTCCCTGACGGGCAGGAGAGTGCAGTGTGGAAGACACCCGATGAGAAGGGCGCTGCTGACTGCCATAGGGAGCCTGGAGAGATGGAGGGAGGGGTTGGGATGGTGAAGGGGGACGCGGTGGGGCGGTGGGGTAGGAGTAAGAATGGGCAGAAGGGTGGAGTTGAGAAGGAGGAGCAGGCGGTAGGAGTGGACAGGAAAAGCAGAGGTATCCCCCTTACTCTTGTTTGTTTGGGTAGAGGCGCAGAGAGAGCGCGGTGTGGAGTGGAGTGGAAGACAGCACGCTCCAATAATCAACTTGTCCCGCCTTACTCTTGTTTGTGACTCACCTCCTGTCCCCTGCTGAAACGTCAGCTTCACGCTATTCCCTTCCACCTTCGCGTTCCGCCCATTATACGCCACCACTATCCTCTTTACAGGCTTCCCCGCTTCAAACATGCGGTACCAAGCAGCAGGGGGAGGGGAGGGCGGAGGCGGGGGGCTGGGAGGGGGTGGTGGGGGGCGGGGCGGGGGGCGGGGGGGTTTTCTCCTGACAGGGGGGCGCTTTGGCAGGGGGGGTTTCGCGATGGGAGGTTTGCGAAAGGGGGGCTTTTTGGTTGGTGGTTTGAGAAGAGAGGGGTCGTTTTGTACGGGAGGGGTGCGGAGGGGGAGGAGGGTGAAGGGAAGGAGGGAAAGAGGGAGGAGGGCCATGGGGTGGGAGGAAGACGAGTCATTTTGAGTCCGAGTCTGCGTCTGCATCTGCATCTGAGCCTGCGTTTGAGATATGTGTGAGGTGAAAATGGTTTGTGAATGAGAGCTGGGAGTCGGGGGGATGTGGTTTGGTTTGGGTATGTGGGAAAAACGGCCAACGCTTGATGGAAAAAGGGAGTGGAGAGGAGTGGGGGTGGGTAGAGGAGGTGGAGGAGGGGGAGAACGAGGAGGAGGAGGAGGAGGAGGAGGAGGAGGAGGAGGAGGAGGAGGAGGAGGAGGAGGAGGAGGAGGAGGAGGAGGAGGAGGAGGAGGAGGAGGAGGAGGAGGAGGAGGAGGAGAGGGAAAAGGGGGAGGAGCGGCGAGGAGGCGAAGGAGAGTGCGAGGATGGGGCGTGGGTAAGGCAAAGGAAGCTTGGATTAGAGCAGCAGATGATGCTACTCCGTCCCCTACGTCCCCACTCTCCTTCCATACCTCACTATCCTTTCCTTCCTCTGCTTCCTCATCTCCCTTCCATCTTCCTTTCCCCTGCCCATTCCCTTTCCACCGTCCCTCGCCCTGCTCCTGCACCTCCCAGAGAGCTTCTTGCACTTCTGCTTCCACTGCTGCCACTGCTGCCGCCATATGTGCTGCCACGTCAGCAGGTAAGCGGGAGCTGCTGCTATCTAAAAGGAGAGCGACACGTGGCAGGGACGCGGAGGGAGAATGTGTGAGCGAGTCTCGATCAACTCCCTGTGTTGATTCTGCTGCTGCACCCACAGCTTCGGTGCGGAATCCACCTATGGAGAACTCTTCTGAGGCTCCTTCCTGTTGGTATGCGTCTAGTTCCTCGCCTTGCGTTCTGCTGCAGCATTCACTGCTGCTGCTGCTGCTGGTACTGCTGCTTCTGATGACGATGAAAAAGCACACACAAAGAGAGGAAAGGGGAGAGGAAGATAGGAAAAGGGAGGGATGACAGAAGAATATAAGAATGGATGCGGTAGGATGCATGCATGGAAGGAAGGTAGGCACCATGCATGCATGGATGCTTGCTTGCTTGCTTGAATGCACAAGTACAGAGAACAGCTGATATTGAGTGGACACATGCAACTCAACGACACATCACAGACATGCTTGCATGGGTGTGCATGCATGCTTATATGGGTGTGCATGCACGCTTGCATGGGTGAGCATGCATGCTTATATGGGTGTGCATGCATGCTTGTATGGGTGTGCATGCATGCTTGCATGGGTGAGCATGCATGCTTATATGGGTGTGCATGCATGCTTGCATGGGTGAGCATGCATGCTTATATGGGTGAGCATGCATGCTTATATGGGTGTGCATGCATGCTTGCATGGGTGAGCATGCATGCTTATATGGGTGTGCATGCATGTTTGTACGCGGGTGCATGCATACAGAGGGCAGTGTACGAGGCTGAGAGTAACGTTGGCAACTGCTGCTGCAGGTACTGCTGAGAGAAGCGACGAGCACTCATGCATGCTGCTGCTGCCGCTTTTCCCAGTGCAGCTGCAGCATGCAGCAGCAGCGTCAGCAGCAGCAGCTGCAGCAGCATCAGCAGAGTGGGGCGAGGAGGGCAGGGAGGAGAAGGTGAGGAGGGTGGAGGGGGTGGTGGCTGTGAAGGGCAACGACTTGAGGGTCCATTGGTGGGTCTGAAGGAAGGGAAGGTGGTGAGAGGCGACGAGAGAGGGTGAGAGGAAGTGTGTTTGTTTGTAACAACAGAAAAAAAGAAAGAACGAAAGAAAGAAATGATGAAACCATGCAACTTATGGGTGAGGAGGAGGGAGGAGGGAAAGGAGGGCATGAAGGCTGAAAGGCAGCTAGTTGAGAATCCAACTGGGAAGGTTGGTGGTGAAAGGCTGTGAAGGCAACTACTGGTGGGGTTGGGGGAAAGGAAGACAGGCTGAGGAGGGGAGGAGATGAGGGAGAGAGAGGGTGAAAGGCTTTAATGATGTGCAACTGGGAGAGTGGAGAGAAGCAGGAGCAGGTGAGTGAGCTTGACACATGTTAGTCATATGGGCGGCACCAGTTTGTATGCGTCCTAAGACTGACACCGACTGTGACACTGACAATGACACCAAGACTGACACCGAAACAGGCCAAAACTGACTCTGACACTGACACTGGAATGGTTGATCCTCATCCTCCCTTCTCGCACGACGTCTGTCAAAAGGTGCTGCTCACTCTCCTCTCCTCATACAGGCCCACAACCGTCACAACCACACTCTTTCTGAGGCACCTCGAAATCTCACTTCGGCCGATACTCATAATGACACTGACACTGGCAATCCTCCTCTCACCATCCTCTCTTGCACGACGTCTGTCAGCAGGTGTTGCTCACACTCCTCATATAGGCCCACAGCCGTCACAACCACGCCCCCTGCTGCTCCTGCTTCTGCTGCTTCTTCTTTCTCTGACGTTGCTACTGCTGCTGCTGTATATGCCTCTGCTTCTCCTTTCTGAAGCTTCTGCTGCTGCTGTTGTGTCTGCCGCCGCCGCTGCTGAAGCAGCTGCAGAGGGTGAGAGGAGAAGAGGAAGGAGAGCGAGTACAGGCAGCCGGGGCGAGTGGGCACAAGGCGGGACACGGCCTGGGAGGGAACTGCGACAGGTGGGGGCGGGGGGGTGTGGGATTACACTTTTGAGTCGACTCAAAGGCAGCTGGGCCGAGTGGGCTGGGCACAAGGCGGGACACGGGCTGGGAGGGGACGGCGACAGGTGCGGTGCAGGACAGTTGGGAGGAAGGAAAGGAAAGGAGAAGTATGCATATGGGTTCTTCATCTCCTTGCGCTGCTGCGACCAGTTGGTTTCCGAGGAATGTGTAAAAACTAACTGACTGCTGCAGCGGTGGGTTCAGGGACACACAAACTCACTGCATGGGATAATGGCGGCTGCCATGTCCTTCCCAGCTGCTGCCATGTCTTCTCCCACGCAGCACCCTTCCACATCCCACCCATCCATCCACCCTTGCTCCTTGTGCTGCTGCCGCTGCTGCTGGTACTGCAGCTGTCTCTTCCCCCCCAACGCCCCACTTGCTCCTCCTCCTACTCCACCTGCTGCAGCATGCAGGCAACGTGGGCCAAGAGAGCACACGGAAAGAGGGAGCACAGGGGGGAGCACAGGGGGGAGCACAGGGGGGAGCACAGGGGGAAGCACAGGGGGGAGCACAGGGGGGAGCACAGGGGGGAGCACAGGGGGGAGCACAGGGGGGAGCACAGGGGGAAGCACAGGGGGGAGCACAGGGGGGAGCACAGGGGGGAGCACAGGGGGGAGCACAGGGGGGAGCACGGGGGGGAGCACGGGGGGGAGCACGGGGGGGAGCACAGGGGGAGCACGGGGGGGAACACGGGGGGGAACACAGGGGGGAGCACGGGGGGGAGCACAGGGGGGAGCACGGGGGGGAGCACGGGGGGGAGCACGGGGGGGAGCACGGGGGGGAGCGCGGGGGGTCAAGGAGGAAAGTAAGTACTCAGAGTATGACCGTATGAGAGAGCACCAGAGGCAACGGCGAGGGGGGAGGGGAGGAGGAGGGGGGTTACGTCGTGAACTAGATGCATCTAGTCACATGGCACAGGCACCATAGGATAGTTTGCAGTGAAGTTTTTGAAGCAAACTGGGCAGAACAGAAGAGGGGCATTGGAGGGCAAGGGGTGATAGGGCCTGTAGGCACGGCAAGGGGCACAGGTGACCGCTCCCCAGGCGGCGAATTGAGAAAACGTCCTTTGCTGCTGCTGACCTGACAGTCCTAGCTTAAACATCCCAAAAATGTTCCCCCCCCGTACTACGTATCTATAGGTTCTGCTACAAGAAATTTAATCTATAAAGCTCCGTATCTACAATATAGCAGAACATACAATTACATTGTATGGGGGGCAAACAATTTTGTGATGAACTAGCCCTTGGAATGAACAAATCTGCAGCGTTGGGAGAGATTATTCGACGGCTGCGATGTTGTTGAGTTTGAGATGTTGCGTGACGAGCTCCTTACTAGCTCAAGTTCGAGATACGCTACTGCTACGCAATTCTGCGGAAGGATGCCGCTCAAGCTCTGTCGATGCTGCTGTCCTTCCTTCCTCCTAGCGGAATGATCACTTGGTTGGATTCAACCGTGCACGCAACGACTGATCAACGGATCTCACTCACGTGGTGGCTGTGGTGCTGTTGACACGTCAGCGGCAGCCGAAGCAGAAGCAGATGAGGCGGCTGCCGCTGCCACGTGGCGGCAGCAGCAGGTCCCACGGCCTAGGACCACGGCTGCAATGGCGATCGCCACGAGCCGCAACTCGAGCACATGGCGCCGCGAGGCATCGCGAGCCGCGCACCGAGCTGGGGAAGGTCCGCGCACACGGCGACTGCTTTCGAGGCGCCTCAGGAACAGAGCCGCCGCGCACCCTTCTGGAGATCCGCGCACAGGGCGCGGCGCATTGCGAGGCGCGCCCCGATCTGGAGGAGATCCGCGCACACGGCGACTAGCGGCTACACTACGCATCGTGAGTGTCGCGAATGGGAGGTTTCCCGAAGGTGCGTGAAGGTCTGGAGGTTCAGCGGCGAATTGGAGACCGAAGAATCCGATTAGTAGGGAGGTCCCATGTCGTGGAGGCACGGCGTGTGCGCGCATGCAGCGAGAGGAGGCGCACGGATCCGGGGAGCGGAGGGGGACAGATGTTTATTATTGCATGAGAGATGCACAACGCTACTAGTCGAGTGCTGGAGATGAGCAGAGTGCGTACGTGGCGTGTTTTGAGTCGAATCAAAACACACCGTGAGCAGTGCTGCTCTATCAATGATACATTGAATCCGTATGTGGCGTGCTTCGCGGGCGCGTATACAGGGATCGCTGAAGCTATAGTAATCGCTGCGGAACTAGTTGTTCGCAACTATATGGTGGTCAAGTCTCGGTCTCGAAGTTTCAATGTGTTGCCCAAATCTAGAGGCGACGCACTCCAATGCGACACGTCGTGGCGGTTCCCATTCTGGAAGTCAGCGCTGGCGATCGCGGCGGATGGCCCGATCGAGCATACTATGCTCCGCATTCGCCTAATATCGAAACACGACACAACTATTATCGCATTGAGATGTCGTAAAACACGGAGCGGCGCGTTTGGCGATTCTAGTCACGCGATGAGGAACCGTGCGGCGGCTGCTGCTGCTGCTGCAGCTGCTAGAAATGGACTGGAGAAATGCAGGCCGAGCGATATCGAGCCGGGGAAATGGTTGGGTGTTGGTGTGTGCGGTGCGGTGGTGCGAGCGGCGGCGGCGGTGGTTGAATGAATTTGCGCCTCTTGCTTGTTTGTTGAGTGGGTGGTTGTTGGATTTGGGCAGGGCAGGGGGTGAGAGGGAGACCATGGAGGGAGGGGAACTGGGCGATGTTCGGCTGCCACAGGGGATGGGGGGAGGGGATAGGATGGAGCATCAGAACGCCGAGCCTCCTGGTTCGATCTGTTCGAACCAGGCAGAACACTTCGGTCAGACATGAAAATTGTGAAAAAAGTGTCGGACGTGAGCATAAAACGGGACGCGAACCCCGCGCTAGGCTTGAACTCGCGCCGCGTCCTCCCCCCGATTCCCCCCCATGGCGGAAAAACTCCGCCCTAGTGTTCAGGGCATGGAAAGTGCATTCCCGTGGGTGGTCTCAGCCCACGGGGAATGAAAAATCCATGCCCCCTTCCACAATTTTAAATACATTTACTCCACACTCTAAAAAACAAATAACCCGGACATTAAAACTATAATGCTAAACACAAAGATTCGAAATGAACTCGCCAAAATTAAAGAAGGTCGAATCGTCATTTACACCCTTGAATTAATTTATGGTGTACAGAATTCAAGTAGAGCAAGCTACCCAAACAAATCGCAGCAGTAAGCTGTTCAGCTCGCGAAGTTTCGTTTCGCGCGACTGCAGTTTCGTGGGGCCCCCATTTCCCGAGTCGCTCCTCCGCGCCTTTTCCCCCATACTTTCCGCTTCCGCCTGGACTCCAGACTTGGAGTCAACGACGGTTGACTCCGAGCTGACCACCCCGAACTAGAAACCCTAGCTGCAAATCTGATCCCTCCCCCCATCCCTCGGTCGATGCCTTGTGGCAGCCGAACTTTGCCCTGTTTGGTTGGGTTGGGGAGGGTGGGCGGGTCGGGCAGCAGGTGAATCATGCAGATGGATTCAATGTTTCAGCACTCACTGTTCATGTGTGATTTCGTACTGGAAACGAGTTCGTTGGTGCGGGTGTGAGTGGGGGGAATGTGTGGTTGGGGTGGGGTGGGTGGGGTGCTTTGGTTGGAATGGAATACTAAGGTCGATTTCTGAGGGAGGCGGATCTGCGCGTGCCGAGCGGAGGGTTTCTTTCGAGGCGCCTGGTTCAATTCACTCTCTCACCCTTCCTGAACGCCAACGCTTGACCAGCCCGAGTCGGTGCGGCGAAATCGCTTGACGCGCTCCGGATGATGATCCGATAACGATTACAGAAAACTGTAAATGCATCCGGCCATCAAAAGCAAACAGTACGGAAAACAAACAATATGAAACATCCAATAGAGAAGTGGTAATCATTATCATGAACACCCTCATATACCATTTCTACGCGCCGACTTACACTGACCCTAAAGTTACTTTCTGTTCTCTAAGCTAACATGCAGAGTTACAACGTGCAGGACACTCAATCTCGATCTTCTCCCACCTCATCCTCTCCATCCTCTCTCTGCCTGCTCTCCGCGCTATACTCCGATTCCGGAAACGCATAACACAGGGCGACGGCAGCCGGAAGCATTTCACAACAAACCAGGAAGTGACCGACTGCCCGCTGCAAATTCTTCGGCGTATACGGTAGCTGGCTCGCCTGAATCCTCCCATACCCCACCAGCACATCCACCAGCACATTTTGCCAGTAGGGCAGGAAAACCAGCGGCACCAGGCATAGGAACTTGCTCAGGGCACTAAACGGTAGAAACGGATGCTCGAAGGTGTGGTAAAGGAGGAGGAGGGCGTACGCGGCGAGATAGAGTGACCCGTGGTGGGAGAGAGTGATGAGCCATGAGAGGGATGAGTGGATTTGGGAAGGGAGTGGGAGGTATTCGCGGAAGAGGGAGGTTTGGAGGTGGAGGAGGAAGGAGAGGAGGGAGAGGGTGGGGAGGAGCAGTATGAACTGGCGGATCCACTGGACAAGGAGGTTGAGGGTTGCTCGATTTGCCCTCACTTCGGGCCGCTGCGTGGAAGGGAAGAAGAGGAGAAAGGAGACAAAGAGTGAGGCAAAGAGGGAGAGCAAGGATATGATGCAGGAGGAGGAAGAGCACGATACGGGACACAATAGATGGATGAAGCAAGAGGGGGGAAATAATAAAGCAAAACAAATAGGTGGTACATTATGGAAGGAGGCATGGGTAGGGTGTTGAAGCTAGAAAGTAGGGTGAATGAGAGAAATGCCATTCATGGGCATAATAGGAGATGGGAGGCAAGAAAAGATATGGGATGAATGACAAGACATGCCAGGAAGAAAACCAGTCTGATTCCAGTGGTGGTGCCTCCAAAGCGCATGGCATGTGGGGATAAAGAAGACGAGACAAAGAGACGAAAGCAGAACCCTAATGGAGCCAGTTCTGGAACGCACCAGAAAGAGAGTGAAGGAGAAGGCGTGCTTTGAGTCGAGTCAGAACGAGTTTTGAATGGAAGCCAGATCGGGAGCGTACCAGGAAAAGAGAGAAGGGGAAGGAGTGCTGCAACATGCGGCGGTGAGAGGACGTGTGAGGGAGAGGGGCGGAGGGCCGGAGAGGCACTTTGAGCAAAGCTGAGAGCAGAGCTAGGAACTCCGACATTCCCTGCCGTGATTGTTGTGTGGAGGGGAGGAGAGGGTAGGAAGGGGAGGAGAGGGAGGAAAGGGAGGGGAGGGAAGGGAGGGGAGGTAGGGGAGGGGAGGGTCAGAAGAGAAGGAAGGAGAGGGGACAGAGAGGAGAGGATGAGAGGGGATAGAGTGAGGCGAGCAACAGAAGGAAAAAAGGAGGCGACAGGGCAAGGATGTGAGGAAGGATGGATGGATGGATGGATGGATGGATGGATGGATGGATGGATGGATGGATGGATGGATGGATGGATGGATGGATGGATGGATGGATGGATGGATGGATGGATGGATGGATGGATGGATGGATGGATGGATGGATGGATGGATGGATGGATGGATGGACGGATGGACGAACAGAGGTTGGAATGGGCAGACAAAAAGCAAGGAAAGAAAGAGAGCGAGAAGAATATAATGGGTGGGGAAGGAAAGATGAAAGGCAGGAGGCAGGAGGGGGATGGGGTTGCGGGTGGGGGTGGGGGTGGGGATGGGGGGAACGCCAACGAACGATCACAGCAGGAACAACAAGGAAAGGAAGCTGAGGGAGGAGGGCGCGCAGGGGCGGTGAGGGAGAGCGTACATATGCAACATAGCAGTCCTTGAGGAGATGTAGCAGCGCCACCTGCCACTCATACCCCGGCATCTCCGCCAGTCCTGCACGCAGGCGGGTGTGCGAGGAGTGAGGGGGTGTAAGTGAAGGGGGAGGAAAGTGGGAGGGATTTGACACAAATCGAATCTCGGAATAGGTGTAGCAGCAGCGCCACCTGCCACTCATATTCCGGCATCTCCGCCAGCCCTGCACGCAGGGGGGTGTGCGAGGAGTGAGGGGGTATGAGGAGGAGGAAGGTGGGAAGGGAGGAAGGTGGATGACAATGTAAGTTGGTTCCCTCCCTCTCTTGCGCACAAGATTTGTCAAAGAACAGCAAATGCAGGCAAAATACATTAAAAACAGTGCAAACCCGGAAAACTGAAGACGATTAGCAAAGAGCGCACCGAATCAAGCAACAACAGGCGCAAGGCAACTGTTTGAGTCATCTGTTGAGCCGACTCGTCAGTGAACTTGGCTGTTCAAGTCGACGCTAAAAGTGCACCAAAGTAGGAGTCGAGGGCAACGACAGGCGCGAGCCCAACAAGCACCATGATGGTCCGTTGCCCTCTTGGCTTGGTCCACTCGCGCGTGTGACGATTCAAAACAGCAGACTCTAGTTGACTCAGAAAGGCACGCACCAAAGTAGGAGTCGAGGGCAACGACAGGCGCGAGTCCGACCAGCACCATGATGGCGCGCTGCTCTCGCGGCTTGGTCCACTCGCGCGTGTGGCGCCCTATGAGGTTCACACACAGGTTGCTGGCCACCAGAGTCGCCATGCCTGCTATCAGCAGCGTCAGCCGCCGCGGGTCTAGTAGACGAGCCACCTCCTCCGCTTGTATCTCCTCTGGCGTCTTCATTGCAGCTTCTCTCCTTGCTCCTTGCTCCTTTCAGTCCTCCTCCTCCTCCTCGCTACTTCTCCTTGCTCCTTCCACCCTTCCTGTGCCTCCTCCTCTTTCCTCCTGCTCCTTCTTCCTACTCGTTCCTCCTCTTTCTTCCTCTCTTTCTACCTTCTCCTCCTTCTCCTTCCTGCTTCCTTGGACCGTATGACTTGATTTACCCTTGTGTTCGTTTTTTTTTGCTCGTTCTACCTTCCTTTTTGTATCAGGAACAATTGGTGGGACTAGCTACACTGCTGCTATTCTCTCCACATAAAATCCGCGTGAACTGAGACGATTTTTGAGGCGCCTCAAAAATGGTGGGTCTAGCTACACTGCTGCTATTGCTGCCGCTGCCGTCGCTTCTCGCGATTGCTTGCACGACTGACGCTGCACTATGCGATGTAGGCTATCCGTTTTTTGGAAAGAATATCCGCGTCAAGATCAGCTCACCCAACCACTCCAAAGGACCGCTTCATTCTTGCAGACGAGCAGCCATAAGCACGGGACGGATTCGAATAGCAACCTCGCCAACAGCTCGAGAGAAGGAAGTATGAATCTTGAATCGGCCTGATAAAGGGTGCTGGAGCGAGAGAATGAAGGCGCGACAGCGGGAGACCAGGTGGAACGAAGTCAGTTGGGGATGGGGAAGCGCGATGGGGGGAAGAAAGGGAAAGTAACGACCGATGTGGGAGTGTCTCAAGCAGGGGTTGCAGCACGCGCGCTGTGGAATGGAGAGCGGGGAGTGCGATTACTCGGAGTACCAGCAGCACGTGGCAAAGCATGGCATGACGACGACGCGGAGAGAAGAACGGGGCGTGGCGTCAAGCATGTGGAGAGGAAAATGACGCATTCAGTCCTGAACGGAACTCAAGAGAGAACAGGCCGTGCCTGGACAGAATTCACGTACCGGTTGCTTGACGACAGTGAAGAGAGAGAGTGAAAAGATAACGATGACGGTGACGTGTGAAGGGAACGGTGGAGACGGTGTGTCGGTCTTGCCCGTGTGACACGATGGCGAGTCATGACGGCGTGTCATCGCTTGTGAAGTGGAGGACACGCGGGCTGATTTGAAGCAGATCGGAGAGGAACAAACCAGTCCGGACAGGTCTGACTTTTGAGGCGCCTCAAAAGTCGTCTCTCTACCCGCAATTTTTTTTGAGGCGCCTCAAAAGAACAAACCAGTCTGGACAGGTCTGATTTAGTCAGGTATAATTTCCAGTTCTGTTAGCTCTGGTCCCGTCGGGACTGACGCTGACCTTGAATGAGACGATGGTTGTCGTAGCAGCAGGGGAGCAGAAACGCTAGAGTATTCCGCGTCAGAAGAGTAAGGAGATTTCGTGCTCCCGGTCTTGGAAAGCAGGGCGCTCGCTAGGTTGATTTGGTCGTTCCTTCAGAATTGCGAATGATGGACAAGACAAAGGCTAGTGGGATGCGCGCGGGATCTGGCTGGATGAGGAAGGGATAGGATTGCATCAAATGATAACGGTTTGCAGTGAAACCGAGAGATTCAGAACGTTGCAGTAAGATTAGTGACGATAACCTCAGTATTCACGGGGGCGGGTACTGGGATGTGACGTCCCTCGAATTGACTCGGTATACCGAGGTCGTGCAGGGTCTATTACATACATCTTCGTGCCCTATATTACGGACGCGGAGTGGAAACGCAAGATAGGAGAATCGAGGAGGGCCAGATATGGTTAGAGCCTGTATTGCACCTTGTTCATTCTTTTTATGAAACAACCTACGTGCAAAAGCAGCCCAGCGTCCATTGAGCCTGATATTTCTCTGTATGAAGCCCGCTTAGTTCAGACACCGTCACTGTATTTGAAACCCACAAAAAATATGGGACTGTAAAACTTCAAAACTGTACACACACCAATTGGGATTTTCCATATCACAAGCAACTGTACACACCGTGTAACAAACCTACCTACGCATGTGCATAAATGCATTGCCTCCTCAGGCATACCGAAGCACCTGTCATGACGGAGCACAACAAAATACGGTACATTAGATAATACTGTAACAGACACCACAATCCTGCTCACGATATCCCACGGCGAGTTTCTAACTGCTCAACAAACATTCAATAAAACACTTACATGCTTGGAGCCTCGTGATATGATGTACAGTGTGTGGTACACTATGCGGAACGTGAAGAATATCACCAGCAGCCACCAGAGGGAGGTCAACGTGAGGCCAATGCGGAGTAAGGCGAAAAACGCGCCGGCAACCACAAGAAGGTTGAGCAGCTGCATGATTGGAAGATAGCCGAAATCATCTGGAGGAGGAGAATCATGGAGTAAGGGAGACATACTGTAAAGCAGGTGGTGGAAAGGAGATCGACATGAAGGCAGGATCGGTTTCAGAGGTGGGTGTGGGAATGAATAATGAGATCCAGAGCTGCCGATTAAGGTGAGGCACGTAAATGAATAATAAAATACCCTCCCTGCTTACTCGACTCAACCACCCTCCCTTCATCTGCCCCGATGGCAATCCCCTCGACTCGATAGCGACATGGAGACAGCAGTGACGCACTCACATCACATGCAGCACTGTGCCATGCCACACACTTCACTCCCCAATGCCATCCCTCCATGTTCCTGCCCTTGTGACTGCGTCTCACTTATCCGCCCTCCCTCTCCTCTTAATCACCCTTGCTTCGCCCTTCTCGTCTCACCTGCACCGATGGCAATGCCTTCGAGGGACATGGACACAGCACACAGGCACTCGCATGCAGCGCTGTGCCACGCCACGCTCCTGACGGCGCGACGCACGCCCGGGTCGGAGGAGAGCAGGTGTGAGGCGCAGAGGGAGAGCGTGAGCACCAGCAGCGCCAGCACGCCCCCTGTGATTGTCGCCATTAGCAGCAGCTGACGTGCCGTGCGCGATGCACGCTGGAAAGGGGAGGGGCGGAGGGGCAGGGAGAGAGGAGGAAGGGGGAAGCAAGGGCCCGGGGGTAGGGGGGTTTGAAGCAGGGAGGAGTAGAGGGAAGGCATGGAGGAAGGGACTACCAGCCGTGTCTGCGCGCCCCCTGTGACTGCTACCATCAGCAGCAGCTGACGGGCCGTGCACGATGCATGCTGGAAGGAAAAGGGGGGAGTGGAGCGAGGGAGGGAGGGGCGGAGGGAAGGAGGGGCTTGGAGGAAGGGGAGCAGCAGGCGCGCCAGCACGGCGTCGCACACGGCCAGGCCAGAGGAGAGCAGGTGCGAGGCGCAGAAGGAGAGCGTGAGCACCAGCAGCGCCAGCACGGCGCCTGTGACTGTTGCCATTAGCAGCAACTGGCGCGCTGTGCGCGATGCACGCTGGAGGCGGGGAGGGAGAGGGGCAGGGAGAGGGAGGGGCAAGGGGAGGAGGGGCTTGGAAGAAGGGAGCACAGCAGCGCCAGCAGCAGCAGCACTGCCAGCAGCAGTAGCAGCAGCACCACTCCCCCTGTGACTGCCGCCATTAGCAGCAACAGGCGTGCCGTGCGCGATGCATGCTGGAGGGGCAGGGAGAGGGGGAGGGCAGTTCGGAGGGATGGCTGGAAGGAGATAATCGTCAACAGCATCTCAAAAGTGAGGGCATGGAGGGAGGAAAGGTCTGCCATGACTGCTCGTTGTCGTAGGAGCAAATGGCAGGCCCTGGCTTCAGTTGAGGGAATGGGCGCGGCGATGCATGCTAGTAAGCAGGAGATGAGGAGGGTGGGCGAGGAAAAGCCAAAGCAGGGGAGCTGGGGAGTGGTCAAGAAGAAGGGCTGAAGGGCAGAGGGGAGCCAAAATGGAAAAGGAGGGTGATGCAGGAAACTTTGCGCGAGCAGACGAATTCTCTTTCTCTCACCTCAGGTCTGCTCTTGATGTCTCGGCCCACCAGGGACTGTGCTGCGAGGGAGAGCGGCTCTGCAAAGTAACTGAAAGTCCAGAACACCTGTGGGGGTTGGCAGCAGGAGAGAGTGAGAGTGGGTTTGTCCAAGGGTTGCATTGCAACAGGTGAGAGCGTGGAAGAGGAGCAAAAGCGTGTTGGCAGGGATAAAGGCTGTGCAAAACAGCTGCGAGCTCAGAACAATTGTGGGGGTTGCTTGCTTGCAGCAGGCAAGAGTCAGTGTTTGCTTGTTCAATGGTTGCAACAGTTGAGAGGGAAAAGCGTGTTGGCAGGGAGAGCGGCCCGGCAAAACAGCTGAGAGCTCAGAACAATCTACTCTTTCTCGTGGGGGTTGCAGTTGGCAAGAGAGGGTGTACATGAATGGAACCTAGAGCACCCTAGGCCCTTTCCACTCCACCCTCCACCATCCAATTCCCTCCACCGCACCCTGCCGCACCGCACCTGCATAGCGACCTGGTGAGCAGCCATGGCCACCACTCCCACCGTTGCTGCCCCTCCACTCTCCACCCTCCACTCTCCACCCTCCACTCTCCACCCTCCACTCTCCACCCTCCACTCTCCACTCTCCACTCTCCACTCTCCACTCTCCACTCTCCACTCTCCACCCTCCACTCTCCACTCTCCACTCTCCATTCTCCACCCTCTTCCCCGCACCCTCCACCCACCACGCTTCACCCTCCTAAACCACCCACCACACCCAGCAGCACCGCACCGCACCTGCATAGCGACTTGGTGAGCAGCCATGGCCACCACGCCCACTGTCGCTGCCCCGCGCGCCAACAGCGTGTACACCACCTGATGGTGGCGGCAGGCGTGGAGAGAGAAGGGGGATGGGAGAGATGACGTTTGAGTCGACTCATTAGCCACCCCCACCGTTGCTGCCCCGCGCGCCAACAGCGTGTACACCACCTCATGGTGGCGGCAGGCGTGGAGAGAGAAGGGGGCGGGGCGGGGGGGGTCGGGTGTCAGTCTACTCATTTTTACCCCGCGTGCCAACAGGGTGTACACCACCTGATGGAGGCAGGCGTGGGGAGAGAGAAGGGGAAGGGGGGGGCGGTGGGTGGGGCGGTGTGGGTTTCAGTCCACTCGTATTTACCCCGCGTGCCAACAGCGTGTACACCACCTGATGGTGGCAGGCGTGGGGTGGTTGGGACGGGCGTGGAAAAGGCGGAATGGGAGGGGAGAGAGAGCGAAAGCATGGAACACAGAAAAGGGGTGTTAGAGGGATAACGGAAGAGAATGCATGTGCGTGTATAGTACAAGCAGATGATGAATCAGGAGGCTCTCCAACCTGCAGAGGCAGGCAGCGAAATGATTCCCAAGGGCTTTCTGATCGACTCATAAGCCACCTGCAGAGGCAAGCATGCTGTGAGTGAGAAAGCTAAAAGATGCACGGCATCCTTTCTTCCCCCTAGCCACTCCCCTTTTCCCCTCGCCACTCCCCTTTTCCCCTCGCCACTCCCCTTTTCCCCTCGCCACTCCCCTTTTCCCCTCGCCACTCCCCTTTTCCCCTCGCCACTCCCCTTTTCCCCTCGCCACTCCCCTTTTCCCCTCGCCACTCCCCTTTTCCCCTCGCCACTCCCCTTTTCCCCTCGCCACTCCCCTTTTCCCCTCGCCACTCCCCTTTTCCCCTCGCCACTCCCCTTTTCCCCTCGCCACTCCCCTTTTCCCCTCGCCACTCCCCTTTTCCCCTCGCCACTCCCCTTTTCCCCTCGCCACTCCCCTTTTCCCCTCGCCACTCCCCTTTTCCCCTCGCCACTCCCCTTTTCCCCTCGCCACTCCCCTTTTCCCCTCGCCACTCCCCTTTTCCCCTCGCCACTCCCCTTTTCCCCTCGCCACTCCCCTTTTCCCCTCGCCACTCCCCTTTTCCCCTCGCCACTCCCCTTTTCCCCTCGCCACTCCCCTTTTCCCCTCGCCACTCCCCTTTTCCCCTCGCCACTCCCCTTTTCCCCTCGCCACTCCCTTTTCCCCTCGCCACTCCCCTTTTCCCCTCGCCACTCCCCTTTTCCCCTCGCCACTCCCCTTTTCCCCTCGCCACTCCCCTTTTCCCCTCGCCACTCCCCTTTTCCCCTCGCCACTCCCCTTTTCCCCTCGCCACTCCCCTTTTCCCCTCGCCACTCCCCTTTTCCCCTCGCCACTCCCCTTTTCCCCTCGCCACTCCCCTTTTCTCCTCGCCACTCCCCTTTTCCCCTCGCCACTCCCTTTTTCCCCTCGCCACTCCCTTTTTCCCCTCGCCACTCCCTTTTTCCCCTAGCCACTCCCTTTTTCCCCTCGCCACTCCCTTTTTCCCCTCGCCACTCCCTTTTTCCCTCGCCACTCCCTTTTTCCCCTCGCCACTCCCTTTTTCCCCTCGCCACTCCCTTTTTCCCCTCGCCACTCCCTTTTTCCCCTCGCCACTCCCTTTTTCCCCTCGCCACTCCCTTTTTCCCCTCGCCACTCCCATTTTCCCCTCGCCGTTCCCTTTCCCCTTTCGCCACCCCTTTTCCCCCCTCACCGCCCCCTTTCCCCCTCACCGCTCCCTTTTCCCCCTCGCCTCTCCCTCTCGCTCCCCACCTCTCTCCTCCCCCTCTCCTCTCGCCCCTCTGCCGCCACTCACCATACCCAGCACGGATCTCGTGACAAACAGCACAGCCATGCTCACAGTCGCAGCACAGCACCCTACCGTTTCCCCCTCTCACCTCTTGCCTCCCCTCTCTCGCCTCTCACCCCCCACGCGTCCCTCACCATGTCTCCAGCATAGACCTCGTGGCACGCGGCGCAGCCATCCTTGCAATCGCAGCACCCTCCTGCTGAAGGTCCCACCCGAACCACCGCACTGATATTTGCAGCCAACGCTTGGAGGGCTGCTTCTGGTGTTTCCCCCTCTGCCTCTCACCCCCTGGGCGCCACACACCATGCCCAGCATAGATCTCGTGACACGCAGCACAGCCACGCTTGCAATCGCTGCACCCTCCTGCTCGCTTCCCCCTCTCACCTCTCGGCTCTTCCATCTCGAATCAACTCTCGCGTCTCGCTTTCCCCCTCTCCCCCCCTCTGCCTCTCACCCCCCTGCCGCCACTCACCATGCCCAGCATGGATCGCGTGACGAGCGGCGCAGCCATCCCTGCAACCGCAGCCGCCTCCTGCTCAACTCCCGTGCTAGCATCAACCCTCTCCCCTCTCGACACTCACCCTTTCCCCCATTGCCTCTCACCCCCCTGCCGACACTCACCATGCCTAGCATCGACCTCGTGACGAGCGGCGCAGCCATCCTTGCAATCGCAGCTGCCTCTTCCTGAAGGCCCCACCCGAACCACCGCACTGATATCTGCAGCTGACGCTTGGAGGGCTGCTTCTGGTGTTGCTCCTGCTGGTGATGGTGATGGTGATTTATGACTTGAGCATGCTCCTGATGCTGCTGATCTTGCTGCTGCTGCTGCTGCTGCTGCTGCTGCTGCTGCTGCTGCTGTTGATGCTGCTGCTGTTGGTGTTGCAATTGTGGGTGACTTTGAGCTGCATGAAAAGGTTGTGGCTCACTTTGTTGAAACGGCCCCCCATCATGCTGCTCCGCCAAACCTTCTCGCAACAATGCGGCTCCTTCTATTCTGCTGGGCTCCGCTCCTCTACCTCCACTCCGTTGCTGCCCTCCTTGTTCTCTCCCTTGCTTCGTCTCCACCAATTCTTCGTATTCACATGGTATGAAAGAGAGCAGCAGCAGCAGCAGCAGCAACAGCAGCAGCAGCAGCAGAAGGAGAAGAATAGGGAGGAACAAAGAAGGGAGACAGCAGACACGCAATGCGACGAGGGACGTGGGTCAAACGAAAAGGAGAAGCAAGGTGGTTCAGGGCAGTACATTATAATGGTGATGACGATGCTGATGTTATTTTACATATCCACTCACTCACTCTCAATCTCTCCCTCACCTCGTGGTCTCAGTCTTGCAGCAAAGATGAGTGCAGCTAGCACTTGACCCAGGAGTGTGGCCCACGCTGTTCCCCGCACACCCCTGCCACCATGCACAGCACAGCACATGTTTGGGGTGAGGCGCACGCTTGACAGGGGGGCGACGACAGGGAGGAAGGGTGGCGGGTTGGGTGCTGGCGACTGCTTGGTGAAGGAGTCATGTCCACCACATTGTGTTGTCGTGCCAACGACAACGAGTCGTGACGCGACTTCACAATGACTGGAGGGTCATTGTGTTGTCGTGCCAACAAGTTCATGCCAACAAGTTCATGCCAACAAGTTCATGCCAACAAGTTCATGCCAACAAGTTCATGCCAACAAGTTCATGCCAACAAGTTCATTCATGCCAACAAGTTCATGCCAACAAGTTCATGCCAACAAGTTCATGCCAACAAGTTCATGCCAACAAGCCACGGCTTTGCATCAAAACGTCAAACTCCACTGCTCACACAACCCCCCAGCCCTAGGGACTTGTTTTAGTGGTCTCACTCAGATACACATCAGCACGTACTCACCACCCCATGTAGAGCGCTAGCAGTGCATCCCCTGCCACGTAAATGGACCAACAGAATTTCAGGCACCCAAGGAATCACAACAGCGTGCAGCACTCACCATCCCATGTAGAGTGTTAGTAGTGCATCCCGATTTTTGAGTCGACTCAAAAATCGACTCAGCACGCGCGGATTACATGTGGAGAGAATGTTTGTTGCGTGGAAAATTGGTTGTAACCTGCAGAGGTTACTGGTGCGCGCGCGACTTTTGAAGTTGCCCCTTGGCGAAAATCTGAACCCAACCCTTCACGCTGACACTTTCGAGGAAGTTGAAGACGTGGCTGCCTGAAGTATTCATGATCATCCTGCCCCGGCGGGTCGGGTCGACCCGACCCGACCCGGGTTTTGACCCGGGTCGGGTCAGGCATTTTGAAGCGCTGACCCGGCCGGGTCGGGTCGGGTTTACCCGGTCGGGTCGGGTCGACCCGACACCCGAAACCGGGTCGGGTCGGGTCGGGTCAGATTTAGACCCGAAGTCGTACCCGACCCGGTTTCGGGTACCGCGCCCTAAGTCGGGTCGAGTATTTGGCCCGACCCGACTTTTCCTCCCTTGACAATTTGCACTAAAGCAGATCCCGAAGTCAATGTCTAGGGTTTGTTTGTTCCCTCGACATTGACTTCGATCTGCAATACCTAGGCAGCTAGCAAGCAATCGTTCTCAAGCTCTACTACTCTCTAAACCCGCGCCCATGTTAAGGAACACACTATTACTAGTGTTTCCATGTTGGCGTAAGGGTCTTTTTAACCTAGCGCGACCAGGCAGAGATATTCGATTCTATAGAAATAGTTATTCTTAGCTCTCACAAGCGAGTAAACTCTGGTCCCGCGTTCTAATCGCCCCCTGCGCGCCTACCAGGCCCGCATCGATAGTGACGCGACCCCCCATAGTCTAGTTACAAAATGGAGGACGTTCATATAATAATATTACACAAATATTCAATCAGTGCAACACCGCACAGTAGTAAGGAGAACCTCTTACCCTGCATGTGGGGTTCTGGCCCGACCCGACCCGACCCGGCCCCTACCCGACCCGACCCGGGGGCGGGTCACGCCTGACCCGGCACCCGATACCCGGGTCGGGCCAGGATTCCTAGAAGTTCCGACCCGACCCGACCCGACCCGGAACCCGGCTGGCCCGCCCAAGTCGGGTCGGGTCGGGTCGGGTCGGGCCTAATGATCATGCCTAGCCTGAAGTTTTCGAGGGTGGTCTGGATTGGTCCCCGTCATTTGGGTGACCTGGGTGTGGATAGCCTAGAGTTCGCTTTCTTAAAGGCCTTGCTTCTCTTTAGAGGCATTGCTTAGCCCTTCTTTCTCACTGTTGGCACTGATGAAGGTCTGATCGGGTTTTTCCCCCGTGATAGGCCGAAACATGTTTGTCCCTGTTTTACTCTACTGCTAAGAATTTGGGTTTTGAGATCGTTTTGAGCACTTAGTAGTACACAGAGCGGAAATCTACTGCTGTTTTTCCTTTGCTTTAAGCCTACTGCACGCACGCAGCTCACTGAGCTATGTCTGAATCTCTAATGGACCAACAGAATTTCAGGCACCCAAGGATCACAAGAGCGCGCAGCACTCACCATGCCATGTAGAGCGCCAGCAGTGCATCCCCTGCCACGCTCACCGCAGCGGCAGCAGCAGCAAATAACGGACCGACAGTGTGTGCAGGCAGCCAAGGAAGGAATCACTGCAGCAGCATGCATGCATGCACGCACACACTCACCATCCCATGTACAGCGCTAGTAGTGCATCCCCTGCCACGTTCACCGCAGCAGCAGCAGCGAATATGAGCAGCGGCGTCACCGAGTCCTGCTGCCCCAGACACGCTCCCTGCGCCACCAGAATAGCTAGCACGAAGGGCGCTGGGGGAGGGATGGGTGGGCGGGGTGGGCGTTGGGAAGGTTGGAGGGGGAAGGAGACAGTCGGGTTGAGATCTTTGCGAGTCGAACGTTCAGCATGTTCCCGTTTTTGGGATTCCCTTAGCCCTCTGCCCTCTGCTTCATCCCTCTGCCCCCTGCCCTCCAGAGCTATTCAAGGGCCGTTTCTTTCTCCTTCTCCTCATTATTTCGTGGGGAGTTCATTTTCGGCGGCTCGCGCCGGCGGCCTTCGGCCGCCGCCGCTCGCTTGCGCGGCCTTCGGCCGCGCGCTCCTGGTGGCAAGGAACAAGGCAGTGGATTGCGATACTGGGAAGTACACACACGCAAAGGAAGCAGAGCTTAAACAAGAGAAGACGGCATGCAGTTCTACACTAGGCGAAGGCCTACATCGTGTACGGCTCCGCCCCCTCCACCTCAAGCATCGAGCGCATGCACGCCGATACTGCAAGGAGGAGATGCGCCGACGACTGAAGCGTGTCCACGGGGGTCCCGGCTCGAGCAGCCCCTACAAGATCTCCCACGTGGCGGGGGAAAGTACGCGCTAAGGGAGCTACCCCGGCGGGCGCTTCCGACACGGGTGCCAACGTTGACTCGAGCGATTCTGCCAAAGACACGCAGGATCCTCGGGATCCTGGACAGTAACTGCTCGGAAAGTTCTGCGTGGCCCCACACACTGCCAGCTGCAAGTTCGCCACCACCTCGCACGCCTCCGCTAGATTCAGAATCCGGCACATGGTCAGCATGGGGTCTCTCCCCGCGCGAGTGGGGGGAGGTGCAGTCGGTGCTTCGCGCGGAAACGCCGTCATCCAGCCAGGAGTACGGCCAACAGAGAAGCGCTGCGCGGAGAAGCCAGGGACCTGACGAGGGGTGCGGAACTGAGCCCTCCCCTCCCGCGCGGGCAGATACTCGTGCAGCGTCGGCGCGCGCAGAGGAGCCACCTGGCCGGGGTCCGCGGCGAAGGGAGGACCGTTGATCACCTCGATGTGGACGTGAGTCGGCTCCCCACTCGCCCGTGCCTGCCGCACCACTTCCACAAACGTATTCGTGGCGCGATCGAGGGCAGGATCCTGCTGGCAACCATTACCGCCTCGCCCTCCGCCATTCCGCCGGCCTCGTCGGCCCCCGGAACCAGCCGAGTGCGGACGCGGGGGGGACTGCTCGCGGCGACCGAATCCCAGCGACGCCCAGGCGAACCCCTCCCCCGCGTCGCCGGAGATCGCCGCGGAGAGCGTTGCCCGGGGGATCGCGCTCGGGGTGAGCGCTGGCCTGCCCGACCACGAGGGGATGGGCGGCAAGGAGAGCGAGGACGCGCGGGGGAGCGCTGATCCCCTGCTGATGAAGTTCGCGATGCTCAGGAGAGGGGCGGCGAGGAGAGGGCTGCCGAGGAGGCTGACGTGCAGGCGAGCGCGCGCGCTCCTGCCGCGGCTGACCGTCCGGGCGGTTCGACGCAACACGTGCAGGGGCCCACGAATACTCCGGCGAGGTGGGGCGCACGGCAGGCCAATGGGGAAGAGTTAGCACCCGCTCAAAGCGGCGGACGGGCTCGCTTGCGGAGGGGTGCGCAGGGACACGCGGACGAGGCCCGGCAGGCGCAGGCTCCGGCAGCGCGCTCTCCGCGGAACCCTCGAGCTCCGGATCCCGTCTCGCGGATGGATCCATCACCCCCGACTGGGAGGAAGAAGAACGCGGGGAATCCGCGTGGGACGCCATGGGAACGGGAGAGGACGGAGAGGCGGAGGAGCGCGCGGCACAAATCGGCGCCGCACCGGCGCAAGCGGTTACGCGAGAACTGCTGAAAGGCTAATGCGTGAAAGCGTGGAAGGCGGCGAGGTGGAGCCCAGCGAGGAAGCAGAGGACGAAGTCGGGAATGAAGAAAGCAAAGGGGGTGACCCTGCTTATAACCCAGAAAGAGAGGGGATGTTGGAAGCAGAGGCCGAGGAGGACGTGGAAGAGTTGGAGCTGCTGCTTCGGGGAGCGGAGTTCCCAAACCAGCAGGCCCGAGGCGACCCTGCAAACCGAACCACAGGACGAAAGCGAACCGCGGGGGGAAACCGTGCAAGGGGGGGAAATCGAGCCGCGACAGAAGACGGAATTGACTCTGCACAGCCAATGAAAATTCTGCAGCCCCAAATCCAACCCCCCCGATGCTCAAACCTGACGACCTGGCGAAAAAATACTGACCTATTCGCTCAGGTTGCAGACTGGGACCTTGACCCGTTGCGCGACAGTCGCCAACCGCCTCTCGCCCGCCACCCCCCCAAAGACCTTTGCGACTCCTTCGCGATCTGCATGTTGACACCGTCACTCCACCTGACAGCCAATCCCGAGTCCCCACCAGGGTGGAAGTTACTGACCTTCCTCCCGCGCATACTCCTTCGCACCTCGACAGCCCGTAAACCTGATTGGAGCGCGATGATGAGCCGGCTCCTGCGATTTCGCCAAGGGTTCTGGGCCTAACTTTACGAAGAAGCTGTCCAGGCGATTTCCCTGCCACCGCAACCTCGCCACGCACCTGACACAACTGGAATACTGGCAAGGGCGGAAGGACTGGCAAAACGGGGTAACCTGTCAAAATCACTTCAATCCCTCCAGTCCACTCCTGTGTCACCCGCCTCACCTGAAGTGTTGGAAGCCCTCACGGCGAGACACCCATCTGCCTGCCAATTACTTCCCGATTGGCTCCACACCGCCACGACGGAAGAGCCACCCACTATCGAAGCCCGCGACTTCAGGCGTCTCCTCGCCAAGCTCCCCAACGGAGTCGGGGCCGGATTATTGCAAAAGCCGGATTATTGCAAAAGCCGCTCAATTTCTGACCGCTCCGGCTGCTCGTACTCACTTTGCTCCCCTTCAGTTCGGAGTAGCAGTAGCAGGGGGGATCGAAGCGGCAATCCACACTGCTCGCACGTACCTGGAAGTGCACCCTGGGGTAGTGGCGCTGCAGATTGACCTCGCGAACGCGTTCAACGTGGTCGAAAGGAGAGCGGTGTTCGAGGGACGGGAAAACGAGGCGCTGAAGGATCTGATCCCCCTCGTCCGCCTATCCTATGGGGCTCCCTCCTCGCTCTACCTCGACCACGACTTCGGCGCAGCCCCGCTGCAGAGCGGCAGAGGAGTCCGCCAAGGGGACCCGCTCAGCCCCCTCCTGTTCGTGGCAAGCATCCACCCGTGCCTCGTTGACATGGCGGCTGCACACCCTCAGGTGATCCTGCTGGCGTACGCCGATGACATCACGCTGCTCGGCGACGCCACGGCCTGCACTGCGGCTTTTGACCACCTCACATCTGCACTAGCCACCCTCGGCCTGGTACACAACCCGGCCAAGTGCGCGGCGTGGTCCGCCGCAGCAATCGACCCCTCTTAAGTTCCCCCAGGCATTACTATCTCTGAAGAGGGTTTGCAGATTCTCGGCAGCCCTGTAGGCACACCCCGGGGCTGCGCAGGCGCTGTGAGAGAGAGATTGGCAGCAGCAGCAGCCCCACTCCCCCTGCTGGCCCAGATGGATCCCCAGCTCTGCCTCCTCCTCCTCACCCGCTGTGTCAGCCGCCGAGCATCTTTTCTGGCCAGAACCACCCCCCTGGAGGCTCTTCCTGAAGCGGAATGGTCTGCTTGGGGGGAACAGCTTCTACACACCTTCCTGGACTCGGCCCACATCATGAGCCCGAGGAGTGCCAGGGAGAGGCGGAGGATTTGGCGGCAGGCGGCCCTGCCAGTGACGCTGGGAGGCCTGGGCATCACTGACCCCGCCGTCGAAGGCGGCTACGCCTACCTCGCTTTAGTGATCAGCGCCGCCCACCTCCTGCACTCCCTGGAGGACTCGCTGCACCCTGATGTCGCCGCGCTCCTCCCCTTACTGGACCCAACCCACGGCTCTCCGCACGCGCTGCCAGCATGCCTCGCTGCGGCTGAGGCAGCTCTCCCCCCTGAGGCTCTCGAGGTGCTTCAGGCCGGGAAGGCGGACCCAAGGGACTGAAGCCGCAGCAAAGCCTGGCACTGGCGGTTCACTCCCGCCGCTTCCTGAGAGTCATGCGCGAGGCGAGGCGGATGCGCCCCAACCCCCTCTCTGGCCACGCGCAGCGGATGCAATCAGTGCTGGGCCCGGGAGCAGGGGACTGGCTGCTGGCGATCCCCCTCATCCCCTCGCTCCGGATGGGCCCATCCCAGCTCTCAACTGCAGCTGCCTTCCGCCTAGGCCTCCCCCTCCCAGTGCCTAAACGATGTGACTGCCGCTACCGCACCACCTTCCCCGACGACCGCCTCCCCAACCACCTCATGCGTTGCGAGAAGGGGAAAGGGAGGACCGCTACCCATCACGCCCTGCGGGATGAGATAGCAAACATAGGGGCTTAGGCGGGGTTTACGGTTCACAAGGAGATGTATGTCTACTCTCTTGTTGAAAATCTTAAGGCGGATGTCACCATCCGTCATCCCCTGATCGGAGAGGTTTGGATGTGCGACGTGACTGTGACGGACCCGGTGTCATACCAGGACGAGAACTGCAACCGAGCTCCTGGATGGGCGGCTGGGGCGGCAGCAGCAAAAAAGGAGGAGAAGTACGCTCGCCGGAACGCGTGGGTGGGGTTCCACGCGCTCGCAGTGGAAACTTACGGCTACCCCTCGCCAGGGGTGGTGGCATACCTCCGGCAATGCGCGGAGCTGGCGGCAAAGCTGCGCTTTAACGCAGCACCTACCTCCTACGAAGCAGCGAAGCTGCTGACGGAGTACCGCCAGCGCTGGAGCGTGTGCCTCCAGCGGGCGCAGGCCAACGCCCTCCGCACCAAGACCAATGAGGCCTTGGCGGCGGACGAGCTCGGCTTTCGGGGTCCCATCATCCCTCTCAGTGAGGGACAGCTGCACCAGTTGATCGAGGCCCCGTTCGACCAATAGGGTCGGACAGGGGGGGAGGGGGGGCGTGTAGGTAGGGGACACGAGGTACATAGGATGCCAGTTTGGGTGTTTGTTTTGCTTGTGTGTTTGCATCTTCCATTGTACCACCCCTTAAGTAATGCAAGGACCATTCGAAAGAGAGAGCACGAAATGTGTGGGTACTGTACTGCAGAGCAGAGCAGGGCGAGCAGCAGGAAGGGAATTTGAGGGGCCTCTAGAACAGGCTCACCAGAGAGAGCATGGATGCGGAGGTACTACAGTGCAGGGAAGGAGGGTACCAGGAAGGGCGGGTAGCAGGAAGGGCCTCTGAGGCACCTCAAGGGGAGACTCACGGGAGGGTACCAGGAAGGGCGGGTAGAGGGAAGGGTCTCTGAGGGGCCTCTAGGATAGGCACACCAGAGAGAGCGCGGATGCGGACGAAGGTATTGCAGGGCGGGCAGTAGGAAAGGAGGGTAACAGGAAGGGCGGGTAGCAGGGAAGGAGGGTACCAAGAAGGGCGGGTAGCAGGGAAGGAGGGTAGCAGGAAGGGCGTTCATTTGAACAATGTGCGACTGATTACAGAACGAGCGAGCACAGCACCTCACCAGAGAGGGCACGGATGCGGAGGTATTGCAGCGCGGGTAGTAGGAAGGGTGGGCGGCAGCCCATGGCTCGGAGAAGCGAGGGGCCAGAGAGGAGCAGCGCGAGGGCTAGCAGTGACCCCACCACCACCGCCAGCAGCATTGCTGCTGTCACTGCCCTGCTGGCCTGGAAAGAAGAGGGGCGGGGAAGAGCGGGGGAGTGGGTGGGCGGGTGGGAAAGAGAGGGGGGGAGAGAGAAAGAGAGAAAGCACCAGTTAAGAGTGAATGGGAATGGGGAGGGAGGGGATAGGATCCAAGGTAGGAAATGACGGCGGGGAGAAGTGTTGTGAGACCACGTGAAAAAAGAAGAGTTTTGAGACGTCTCAAAACCTTTTTTTTTTCAAGTGTTTTGAGACGTCTCAAAACTCTTCTTTTTTCAAGTGTTGTGAGACGTCTCAAAACAGGGGATAGGATCCAAGGTAGGAAATGACGGCGGGGAGAAGGGCGTGAGGGAGGAAGGGCAGAGGGCGGGCAGCAGCACATGGCTCGGAGGAGCGAGGGGCCGGAGAGGAGTAGCGCGAGGGCTAGCAGTGGGCCGGGAAGAGGGTGGGAATGGAGGAAACGAGGGGAGGGAGGTGGCAGGCGAGGGAAAGAGGAAGGGAGATACGGAGGGGATGAGTGAGGGGGAATACCAGTAGGTTCTGCTGGGACTGTGCAGCGGAGGTGGGCTGGGGCGTGGATTGGCGCGCCACCAGTGCACACGTTGCTGTGCCCAGAAAGGTGAAGGTCTGCTCGCGTGGGGTGTGGGGGAGTTGGACGGGGTGTGGGGGAGTTGGACGGGGTGTGGGGAATGCATGCACGAGGTGTGGGGGATGCATGGGGTGTGGTGGGGCATGCATGGGGTGTGGCATGGTTGGAGGTCAGGCAGCATGTGTATGGGACAAAATCAGGGGTGGATGTGAGAGGGGGGAGGGGAGAAACAAGGGCGACACAAGAGGGCAACAAGGGCGCACCTGGAAGATGAAGTTGAAGACAGAGACGTTGGGAGCGAGAGCAGCGAGGTGCAGCGACCCCAGCTGCCCCACACACGCCGTGTCTATGAGCGTCATGAGCGGATCCGATAGACTGTTGTTAGGAGTGGGGGGCAAGGAAGGACGGTATTTCCTCGACATGAACAAGATACGAATTATCACTGGAATCATTTCTTTGCCTAACACATCTCCTCATGACATCCCATAACCAAAATCCCATCCCACCATCCCATCCCCATCCTCCCATTCCCACCTCCCATCCCCTCATCTTGCCCCATTATCTCGCCCCTCGCCCCGTCTTCTCACCCCATCATCTCACCCCATCTTCTCGCCCCGTCATCTCACCCCAGCATCTCACCCCAGCATCTCACCCCATCATCTCATCCCCTCACCCCACATCATCCCCACTCACACGGCGCCCAGGGCGGGGAGGGCAAGGCCCCAGATATCCCTCACCACCGCCACCTGCTGCCCTTCGCCCTCACTCCCACTCCCACTGCTCCTCTCCTCTTCCTCTCCTTCCTTCCAGACACCACCACCATCAGCAGCAGCATCAGCAGCAAATGACATGGTCTTTACCGCCCTCCTCACCCTTCTCCTTCTCATCCCCTCAACACCCCCCATCCCCCCCACCGCCCCCATCCCCCCCACCGCCCCCATTCCCCCCACCGCCCGCTTTCCCCCCAGCGTCCACACCGCCCCGCTCTGCCATGCCCCACCCCGCCCGCATGCCACACCGAAATCCAAGCGCGGGTGAAGGTCGTGTGTGTTCCTTGAGTTTCTGACACGTGAAATCGGGGTCCGTACCAGTCGCGAATCGGAGGGCACTATAACGAGTCCATCGTGGTCTCCCTCCCCGAGGCTGCTGTCGAGATGGCTCTGACTCTCACTCTGGCATTGACGGAGACGTTGACGTTGACGCTGACGCGGACTCGGACGCTGACTGTACCTGACGCTCACACCACTGACTATAGTACATCGTGCTGTCAGATCGTGAGGGAGCTGAAATACCGACGGTGGCACTACATGACTGGGACGCACGGGATTGCGTTGTCTTAATGGCTGTTGACTCGTCTCTAACCCCAACTGTACCCCTACAAGCGTTGGTCTGCGTCCCCTCGTTGTTGAATTCCTCGCGATTAGTTGCCTGGTAATTAAATGCGTTGTTATAGAAACATTCAATCTTGACTGCCTGCATACGACCGTTTGTGCGGAATTTATTACTGATATCGGCGACCGAGAGAGGACAGAAGACGGCGGCGCTCCCGCCGGGACTAGTAACGAGGACGCTCTTAGCGGAGCGCATTGCTGGACCGGAACCACTGCAGCGCGGTGAAGTGGAGGCGGAAGCATGGGCGTGAGCTCTCGAGACGGCGGCGTGTCACAACAGCAGCGAGTGGAGGAAGCACGGGGGAGAAAAGGGAAAGGATCGTTGTGAAACGGAGTGGGACGACAGGGGGCCGGGCGGTAATTACGATCCCTCTCTTTCTCTTTATCTCCCAGAAGGGATAACAGACCTTCTCCAACTGGAAACTGCTAGATGGATTCTGCTCTCGGTTGATCGAGGAATAGTGGCGGTCTTGAACAGCGTCGCGAGGCGCGCGCTGGGGCTGGTCTGTACTTCACCCGTTGACTGGGTGAATACCGCGAGTTCGGGTTCGATCTTCTCAGCCTGTAGTACGAAGCAGCACAAAAAACTCAGATAATGGGAGAGAAACGAAAGAGATGCCACTGGAAACAGAAGACGAGAAACGGATTTGAGGATAACTAATCTGGTGAAAGAAAGCAGCAAGCACAGCGGACCACAATCTGGTGGTGTTCGATGAAATCCATTTCCCAATTCATTCCAGCGTGCCGGCAGAACCATTACTAAGTGATTCACGATTTCCATTATGATCATGCATACAAAAAAATCACAATTTATAGCTACTCAAAACATCGAGTCGCGCATGTAACATACGAGATGCATCTCGAACATTCGCGTAACAATTCGGCACCCGAATTTCACCGAACCGAATTCTTCCTTAGTCTCGATTCTTCTTGTGTTGCCATGTGGCACCAATTGAGTGGGTCTTCCGAAGTCAACCCACACACTTCGAAACATGCAGCTCACGCAACTCGTGAGCACTAGAAGAAGTACACTCGGTGGGTTGGGGGCATACAACCAGCCAACCACCGCCTTGCTTCCAACACACGCCACCTCCAACACTCCCCCTTGCACCCAAGCCACTAGGTGCCCAATCGAACATGCCCATAACATGCACGGGATGAATCTTTAGGGGGTGGTTCTATGAGAGAATCCACGTGTTCATCATCACCCTTGGTCGCGAAGCAATATGCCACGCCCTCCTTATCCGTCTCCCCAACGGCTACCGTAACATAGTCAGCGTACTTGGAGGGAGGACGAACCTCACGACGCTCGCGGATCAAGGCCAATGGTAGGGAGGAAGGTTTGGAGGTAGTTGCCGCCTCAGTTGGTGACACCTCTACGACATCATCAACGCTCTCCTCGTTGTTCTCTCCCCTTCCATCGGCTTCCTTCTCCACTTGAGGTAGAACCTCACTTTCTTCAACCTCCTCTCGTGCCGGAAGGATGAAGGTGACTTGTTGAGTTGGTTTCTCCTTCGCCTGGAACTTGTCTTCGTCGAAGACCACATCCCGAGATGTGACGACGGGCTTATCACCCAAATCCCACACTCGCCATGCACGCTCGCTTGGCGCAACTCCCAAGAAGATCGCCGCACGAGCCTTCGGTTGCAACTTGTGGCGAAGTGGATCCAGTACATGGTAGTAGCAAAGGCACCCAAAGGTGCGAAGGCGGGATAGGTCCGGCTTCGAACGGAGTCGTTCCCGATAGCACCTTTGTCGGCACACAATTACGAATCCACACCGCTAGCGAACTCGCCTCACCCCACCACTCGCTCCCAAGCTTTGAGTGTGGAAGAAGTGAACGAACGGCTTCCACCAATGTGCGATTAAGCCGCTCCGCCGCTCCATTTTGTTGGGGTGTGTAGGGTGTTGAGACATCGTGCTTGATGCATTTGCTCTTCATCCATTTTGCAAGCTCGTTGTTCACGAGCTCGCTGTCAGAATTGCTAGACAGAAAGATAGAACAGAAAAAAGAAAGATTGCACTAATAAGCAGGGCAATACATATAGCAAACCCTAATCGGGTTGTACTCACTATAGAGTACCCTACTGCAGACTAGACAGATGACACATTCTGACACACCCCCATAGTCAAAGTGGGGGATGATCAGAACAACAAGCAGCAGTTCATAGTTCACAAATATAAGCAAAGCTAGAGGCTATCACAGAGGGCAAGTGAGGAGGAGGAGGGACTATGAGAGGAGAGGAGGTGGTGGGCGGCAGCTGAAGCTGCTAGCACACGGCGCAACTGGAGCAATTGGCACACGGGCAACTGGAGCAACTGGCACACGGACAACTGGAGCAACTGGCACACGGGCAACTCAAGTAACTGGCTCCGCGGCTAGACGAGCGGCAGGAGCAACTGACTCACGGGCGACTGGAGCAACGGGCTCACGTGGGACTGGAGCAACGGGCTCACGTGCGACTGGCGTAACGGTCTCACGGGCGACTAGAGCCGCTGACTTCACGGTAGCCACCCCCCTTCAGCCTCCCCCATCGGCCCAAAATTCCCGTTCACACACCCCTTGCTGCACCCCTAGCTCCACTCCCATATAACCCCCCTAGCACCACTCCCTCGGCTCCGACACACCCACCCCCCTCAGCGGCAGCTGCAGCAGTGGGAGACGTAGGAGGAGGAGGAGCAGGGGACGGCTCACACACCCGCCACCCCCATAACCGCCACCCCAAGATCCAAACGCAGGCGGGGTGGGGCGGGTAGCACCTGGGGCGGCGTGCGAGCGGAAAGCAGGGCGGGGCGCGGGTCCCTGGGGCGCTGCGACGGGGGAAGAACAGGGCGGCGCGCGGGCCCCCAGGGCGCCACGACGGGCGACGGGAGAGGGCGACGCGCGGGCCCTCAGGGCGCCGCGACGGACGACGGGAGGGGGGGCGACGTGCGGGCCCCCAGGGCGCCACGACGAGCGACGGGAGGGGGCGACGCGCAGGCGCCCGGGGCGCCACGACGGGCGACGGGAGGGGGCGACGCGCAGGCCCCCGGGGCGCCACGACGGGCGACGGGAGGGGGGTGGCGACGCGCGGGCCCCTGGGGAGCCGCGCCGGGCGACGCGCAGGCCCCCAGGGCGCCACGACGGGCGACGGGAGGGGACAACGCGCGGGCCCCCAAGGCGCCACGACGGGCGACGAAACCGCCACGCGCTCCCGGGGCGCGCGGCGGGCAGGAAACCGCCACGCGCCCCGAGCGCATGGCGGGCAGAAAACCGCCACGCGCTTGGGGCGCGTGGCGTGAAGAAAAATTGAACATCGCACGCCACGGGGTGTGCGACAGACAGTATGGCAGCGAAAGCAGGCGGGCCCACAGGCCAGGAGCGTAACTGCTCTGATAGCATGTAAGAAATGCTAGATAGAAAGATAGAACAGAAAAAAGAGGGATTGCACTAGTAAGCAGGGCAGTACATATAGCAAACCCTAATCGGGCTGTACTCACTATAGAATACCCCACTGCAGACTAGACAGATGACACATTCTGACACTCGCCGCCACCGTCGGTGCGAATAACCTTGATCCGCTTCTTGTCGTCGTCGCAAACTTCGAGCGCCCACTTGTGAATTGCCTTGGCCGCATCGCCCTTTGCCTTCAAGAGCCGGGTCCAACACATCCGCGTCGCGTCGTCGAGCATCACCAAGAGGAACCGCGCTCCTCCCTTTGATGCATGCCTCATCGGTCCACACACGTCCATGTGAACAAGCGCAAGAGGATCCTTAGGGAGGGGTGACGTTCGGCTACCAAATGGCTTCCGAGCCATTTTTCCTTCGACACACGCCGCGCACACGCCCTTCTCGTCGTCGCCGGCGATCACCTCGACTCCCTTCGCAAGTCCTTTATTGGCCAACTCCTTGACCGACTTGTAGTTGGCGTGCGCAAGTCGATTATGCCACGCCTTGAGAGTCGCCTTGGAGCCTTGCGCCACGTTGGATGAAGCCGCTCTCGGGTACGTCTTGAGTTGGTAGAGTTGTCCGTTGAGAACGCCTTGCGCGAATTGCTCCCCCTTCCAAAAGAGGTTCATTT